ATACTCTACATCAACCATGGAAGGAGGAAGCCATCACAATTTCACAATACAAACAACAACAAAAATCCCTTTAATAAAAATTCAATTTTTAATCGATCTCTTTATCCGTACAATCAATTAAGCCAAATTGAAGCAAAAAAAATGACCAACGCATTCAAATACACGTATTGTCAATGAAGAAAGAAAAAGAATTGTAATAATACGCTTTAGAACCCCATAACCTAATGACAACGGCGACTTTGATACCACTTGTTGGGATAAATTTCTTAAGCCAAATAGAAATTTTCCATTAATCAATATTAAGAACCGTTGTCTCATATTACAGAGTTAATGTTAATAATACGTACCTGTATCCATTGACGTTGATCAAAAGGTTGCAATGGAATAGTCCTTTGGTGCAATGATCTTCCTCAGCCAAATCACTGGATTTCTTGATGGGACTTGATGTTACTCTTCTGATAGGGAGACAGAGAGACGTGTGTTTCTGATTTGACATATTGGGGACCATGACCATCTTTACGATTTTAAACCTATTAAGGTTCCCATTAAACCCTAACGGGACAAATTTGGTTTCCACTTATTTGGGCCCATATCAGTTTTTCTTGTTGGTAGTCTAAAGGCTCACTAAAATTAGATCACTTTTATTGAGTCCAACTAAATGTAAATAACTAATATAAATACTACAAATAATATATGTAGCCCACAATAATTATTAGAAATAAAATTTCTAACATAAGGGTGCAAGTTGTGACAATTTATTATCTTAAAATCCTTCTTTAAATTCAAAATATAATTAAACATAAAAAAGTATTATCATAATATATTTAATATAAATATTTGAAGTCATTCTATCGAAGGTTTTATTGGAGGAATGGTTAATTAGATGTGACATCTTTTTAACCTTTGAATTTAAGATACAACTTGTGACAAGTTGATATCTTTAAATTTTTTTTCCAAAATAAAAATATCCAACCAAAAAATCTTTTTAAGTATATACCATAGTAATAATAATATCTATAACAATAATTATAATTAAAATTAAATATTTTATTGAGTAGACTTTTGTGTACACCTTAGTCAATTTTATATTTTAGGGTGAATGAGCTGAGACAGTTCAAGAATTAATCCTAAATTTAATAAAAATAAAATTTAAATTAAAAAAATATCAACACACAAATATTTTCTACAAAAAACTGCGTGACTCTGATTCTTTGTTGTATATGAAGATACGTAGGAGCAAGAAATAAATCTTGTTGAGCCTAAAAAAATATTATTATCTTTTTTATATAATAATTTTGATTTTTTATAAAATAAATGCACTAGTTAAATAAAATACATTTGATTGTTATAGTTAATTTCGATTAATCTAGGGTGAGATAAATATTTTATAAATTATAAATAATTTATTTAATTAATTAAAGGTAATCATCTTAGGACGAATGTTATGAGGTGCTAATACCTTCCTTACACGTAATCGACTCCCGAACTCAAAAATCTGATTTTTGTAGACCATTTTCTACTTTGTGATTTTTCTAATGTTTTTCCATAAAAATAAACATTAGTGGCGACTTCATATTTATTACCGTATTTTCGTTGTCCTGTTGCGATCTTAGTTGCGACATTGACCATTGAAGAAATTCTGACTTTAGTACCATCAGCCACAACAACATTCATAGTTTCCATTTGTTGTATCAAGCAACCTAATTTCCGAGCAACTTTAACATCAAGGAAATTATAAGTACTACCATTGTCTATAAGGATATGCAAGGGTTTTTTCTTATAATAGCCCGTAATTCGCATAGTTCTAAAACTAGCAATACCAATCAGAGCATGTACTGAGATCTGAGGTTCAATCAAATCCTTTGGACTTTCCTCCACATCCACATCTTCGCAAGTGTCAAATGGCTCACCATTATCAATTTCCATGACATGAAGTTGTAGTTTCTTATGAGTAAGAGCATGCTTAGGGGTGAAACGTTAATCACAAAAATAACACAGCCCTTTTTCTCTTCTGTCATTAATATATGTTGGAATAAGATTTTTATAGGATTGTGTTTTGGTTTTATTGACAATAGGGGTAGGAAGGATGGAACTGAAAGGTTTAGAAGGCAATGTAGGTTTTGGCTTGTGTATTAGGGTGCTGGAAGAAGATTGAAGGTTGGCTGCTTCATACATTTTGGCTAATGCATAGGCTTTCCTTATAGTGCTAAGGGAAAACATCCATACCATCATCTAAACATTTGTTTTTAAGCCTCCCAAAAAACAACTAAGGGTATTGGCTTCAGAAAGATCCAAGCGATTAAGAAGAGCATCAAACTCCTCATGAAATTCAGTGACTGAATCTGTTTGCCTCAATTTCATCAACTTAGCCATAGGGTCTTCACAAGGTTCACCAAATCATTCAAGCAAGATTATAGAATAGGTATTCCAAGAAAGTGTAGAATTCGCTGCCATAGATTTGACAAAAGCAGTGTGCCACTACAAGGCCTTTCCCTCCAAGTGAATTACAGCAAGCTTCACCTTGAATTCCTCAGGAGTAGAATCAAGTGAAAAAAAATGTTTCACACAGATACACCCAGTGTTTGACATTTGCACCATTGAAACGGGAAAAATCGATACGTGCAAGACAAGTGCCACAAGAGTAATTGGAGGAAGGTTGCATAACGCGATGCGGAACCGTATTAATTAACGAAGAAGAGGAAATTTCACCATCGGTATGTTGTTTGATGTGATCTTGAATGCGTTTATCCACCGAAGCATCCCGGGACTCTCTCATCGATGTAACAATCTCCATGAGATGAGTTTCAAGTCGCCTCGTGATTCTTGATTCCAATTCATCGGCATTCACGTGTGATGCATCCTATAAATGAGTGGAAACCACCATGATTGTCATTGGAAGGAACAAAATCTGATACCAATTGCTAAGATTAGTTCTACGGATTAAGGAATTAAATCGAAGAACTAAGAAGAACAGAGAACCCTGAAATAGAAAGAGTTCTGAGATAGTATGATTGATTCACAAGATTGGGAAATTGATTACAAAACTGATTAACCGATTCTGAATCAGATAGTTTTCTAATATACTAGTTGGTTTCCCCAACGTACTACTAACTACTAAAACACAGAACTTTAACCAAAATAGTCCTCCTATTATTAACTATCCTCACTTAACTACTTTTAATTTTCTCTAATTACAATTTGACCCGTATGACCATCTTGGCCCTTACTTTCAAGACCAAAGTCCAATGTTTCCATGTCAAGTAAACTTTGCCAATTCTTCTCTTGACTTTATATCTCCCTATGAAGAGGAGAATTGGATGTTGGGGCAGAGAAACATGTTTCAGACTCCAAGAATGTAACATCTATCATAACATATATGGGTTTTGTGGCAAGATGGTAATAGTGATACCTTTTTTGGTGAGTAGCATACCCCAAAACAACAAAGTGCACATGGATCAAGCTTTATAAATTGATTTTTATGGAGATGGGCAAAGGCCAAACATCCAAAGAATTAGTTTGCCTCCTCGTATCTTTGGATGTGTGGCCTTATATTCATCCTACATTGGGATATTCATGTAATTTAAAGCAAGTATCATGTATGTGTTTGACATGTAATTTAAAGTGGTGATACTCGAGTTTGTAAAGTAATATAGATAATTTGGGAATGAATTACAATTTTTATAATCATATTTGACATAGTGAAATTCTTTTAAGATGATTGTATACGGATTTAGCTTCTTTAAAGTGAATGGTGCACTTTAGAGGATAATGTTAACACAATATAGAATGATATATATTTTATTTCTCTATAAGGATCATACATATAGTTTACTTAATCTCCTATTTTGGGAAACTAAGACACTTTGTTTGTATTATAAAGTAATCCCACAGAATCTGCAATCATATGTGTAATTACATAAATCAGATCCCTATAATCTCTCATATCAACTCACATCAATAGATAAAATGCGATAATAAGCATTAATTAAAAAATCAATGATAGAAAATTATGATAAATTAAATATATGTATAATTAAATTTAAAATTAATTATAATATCCATTGTTGATTTTTTAATCAATAATTATTATTGTATTTTATTCTCTAAAATGCAATCTCATTTTAGAGAAGCCAAATTCTGTATAGGCAAGATGTGTGCTAAACTAGATTAATTATGTGTGTTTCTTCTCAGATCTTTTGTGTGCATGGTAATTATGTTTATCTTCTTCTATTTGATTTTTCTTTAACAAGGTCTTGATTTACAATTTTGCGTTTAAAAAGAAAAGAAACTCATGAGAGAACTAACTCACCATACAGTAAATAACCTGGGTTCAAATAAAATTGTGTGAAGCCTATTTATTTATTTATTTAACAAGAGGTCAAACTAAATTACAAAGGGACCAGACTAGAATTAGGGTTTAGGAATCATGTACAAAGAAACCTGTTGCCACTTGAGTTAAGGATATTGTGGCAACATTCAAATCGTTTATTAATACAAAAATTCTGCCTCCGGTTTTGTTTATTTCCATCTTTTGTCCTTGTCTAAAACATGAGGACTCCTTCACAGTTACAAAGTTCACTACAATTAACAAGAACCACATACTCATCTAATAATCCTATTATACACTTAGATTACTATCGGAGCTTGTCTGGATAAAAAAAAATTAAAAGAGTTGATGAGTTTCTATACTAAAAAAAAAAAAAAATCTATATCTTCAATAGAAAAACTCTGAAAAGCTCTTCTAACATTGTGCATAAACATACTTGTAACATGCCCTCTTCAAGTGAACAACTCTTTCACCTGTCATCAATCATCATCATCAGTAAAGTCCGGTTCGAGGGGCTTCCTCAATGAGCCAAGAATGTCAAGTTCAGGCCCATATCTCAAACTCCTACCTTTCCTTGGGATTGAAGCTAGTTTTGCAGCATACAGTGTGCCCATTGGAGCCTGCAGTGGTGCAGAGAAGTGTTCAGTGCCGTTTCCAGGCACATATGCCATCATCATGAGTTTCTCCTTTCTCTTGAGCTCGCTCGTCTCCTTCATTTTCTTGTACCTGAACCACGCTGCTTGTATGAAGCATGCAGCCCAAGTCCTCCACTGGTGTGAGTGGAACCTGAAAGTGTGCCTCAGTTGCTTGCTGTGCAGCCTCCGGAACTGTGCTGCCACAAACTTCAAGTCCTCTGCAATGAGTGCAAAGGCCTCCACCTCAGTGATGGCCTTCACCGTGCGAGTTGAGGAAGGGAGCACAACCGTTGGACGAGGGTCCAAGGCCCATGGCAAGAGCTCCTCGCCACAGAAGTCGCCAGAGCCGAGCCTGCAGGAGTTGAAGAAACCTGTTCTGCCACCATTTGTGGTGCAAGAATCTAGGCATCCTCTAACAATGAAGATCATCTCATTCACAAGGTCTCCTTCGCGAACCACGTGGGCGCCGGGAGTGAAAAGAGAAGGTTTCAGCCTTTCACAGATTGCATCTAGCATCCTGTCATCCATCTGATCAAATAGTGGTACCTGCCATGGACCAATAACTACTTCATATTGAGAAAATTCCACGTCTTCAATAGAGATAAGGCCAAATTAGCTCATATTGCGTGTTTCAACTCAGGTTTCTCTAAACTTTACTCCTTTGTGTTTATTTGTTGCTATAAGTCTGCATTGTTTGTGTTTCTCTATTCTCTGTCTATTACCTTGTTGATAAATAACATCTTGAATTTCTTTTGTTTCTGTTTCTGCTTGTAACAGTTCATTCTCTTACTTGCTTGTTTCCCAAGAAACATGTTAACATGATATAATCTTGCATGAGATGTCATGAACCAACACTTACAAAAACTTAAGCTATTAAATGAAGACACATGAATGATTTCTATATTACATGTCCATTGGGGCCCCCTCACGCAAGTGCCCTTTGGACTTGTACCATGGATAATGTGCAGGTCCACCAACCTTGTGCTGAAATCCAACTTTTTATTAGAAGAATAAGCGAGGAAGGATCAAACTCTTGACCACTAAAGTCCTGTATGGATATACTTCTCCATAAATAGCTATAGGAAAAGAAAATAAGAAGGTAGAATATATTGAATTTTTTTCATAAGCTAAAATCATTGTATGTACCCTAACTTTCAGAAATGATAACTAAAAGAACTTTGATGAAAGTTAAGTTTATATGTTGATTTTAGTTTATGCGAGTAGCTCAGTTCATTTTATGAGAAGTTCATCCAATCAGGACTTAAGGCATAGAAGGTTAGATAACAAGTCATGAACCACTTATTCTACATGCTAAACATGAGATGCTTAATTGAAACTTCCACAACGTGTAGAGAAGAAAACAAAGATTTACTTGTCTAACTAGATTAAGGCAAAGGTGGCGTTTGATGTCACGTCGTAGATCTGTGGGAAGGTCTCCGAGAATAGTTTCCTCATCAACTCCCCTAGTAGCAACCCATCTGAATTGTTCATGACGTCGCACATTTTGCTTCAGATAATGAGGGAGCTGCCTGTGATGCATCCATCTTTCTGTATCTGTCCTTCTTATTCTCCATTCTTCTAGTCGCGTAGTGGTGGATTGCAGGTAGGTCTGTTAATTAGGTAAGAATTTCAGCTATATGAAAAAGGGATGAAAATACAAGATATGAGGATCAGAGATATGATCTCATTTAATTATCACATATTCATGGTGCATTCTTTATCCCCTAATCAAAGTGGGCAAGCAAGACTAGATCAAGCCATCAAGGTCCTAATTGATGACTCAATAAGCTTCTTTTTTCTTCTTTTTTTTTAATCCATGAGAATCAAACTTGGTATTAAGAGAGTTTACAACAATTCACGTATCTTGTTCAACGAATTGAGTTAGACTCCCTTAATCCTCAATAAGGTTTTGCCAACAGAAAGAGTCAACTATCAGTGTAAAATTTAAACTAAGATCGTTGTAAGCCTAATAGTTATTATATCCCAATTCATAATAAAGTATGACAATAAATACTACTCAGTGAACAGAAAGTGTGTCCTATAAGGTTCAGAAATTTTATATATTCAACTCTAAATAATCCTTGTAAGTAAAAAGGAGGATGCTATAAATAATCCTGATGTTAAGGAATACTATCATACCAACAGACAATGAGTTTATTTTTGCAAACAATTATCAAGTCCTGAAACTTGCAGCACATTAGTAGAGTGGCAACAGCTAGACTTACTTGCATATTGCCTATAAGCAGTGCAAAAAGCACTAATCCAAGAATTGCAACGACCACAGCAAAATTGATCTCTGCAACACGTGTGCTTGTTAAGAGATTCTGTCCCACAGAGCTGCAAGTTTCGCTTAGTATTGGTAAGAATATCAAAAACTCTATTGTGGCTGATTAGAATCTTATAATAATCGATTTCAATAGTAATTCTCGTCTTCAGTGAAGTGATGACTATGCTCTGAATTAGTTTATTGCCAATTTTCCATGCAAAAAAATAATTCTTGGATGAATTATTCAAATTTTACATCAAAAATTGAAGTTACCTGAGATTCCTTAGTCCCCACCAGAGACAGTAATAGTATTTGTTGATGAATTTTGAGCCCGTAATTCCCAAATCTAGAGCATCAGTAAAAATGCCAAATTGAAAGAAATCACTGTTCTGATCACATAGACCTGAGAGATTGCTTGATCTTAACCAATAAATCCTATTTGGGTCATCCATGCTTTGACAATCAAGATAATGATACTGGCAGCGTGGATATTGCAGTGTACAAGCTTTCTTCCAACATTCATTCTGCCGTTCTATTGACAACAGGTACCAAGAGGATCCTAAAACCTAGAGGGACAGTGAATAACTGAATCAGAAACAACATAAAAGATAAAATAAATACAAATCATAAAGGAAAAAAAATAGGAAAAAGGCTATAGAACAAATAAAAGTGCATCATAAGTTCTTATGCAAAGAAAAGAACTATTAGGAACAGTGACTTACATGACTAGCTAGCATATAGAGCATCAGATTATATGCTGCCCCAGCCCATGCTTTCTCCATCATTACCCCATTTGCCTTGATGATTTCAGATGATAGAGGATAAATAAGATACAGCCTCAAGAGGTACTGGAAAATCGAAACAAGGCGCAAAACATGCCTTGAAGCAATCATTTGAGAGCCTCTTAGATTAGGAATTACGGCCCAAATCAATACCTATCATGTATAGGAATGACAAAATTGTTATCCTGCCGCAAAAGAAACAAAACAGGATGTACACAACTAAGACACAATAGCATTTTGAACTGTAACATCAATTTAGTTCAGCAAATGACCCTGAGAAATGCAACCAATGGCATAACTAAGTAAAGACTTATAGTATATTAGTAAATTACCGTTGTATCATAGCACAAAGGAGAGGCTTTCAGGATCTTTGTGGAATGTAGTTGGGTGGGGGAAAGTCAAGATGTTGTATGAAAAATTATAGCCTTAAAAATGTTGCAATTTGTTTAAATTTGTTTTCACAAGCCTTAAAAATTATCCTTCTCTTTCACCCATTTAGAAGAATGTGAGCATAAGGCTGGTGTAAATTAACAATAAAAATGAAGGTAAAAAGAATCACAGCATTAAGAAGTGGTCTTCTTAGTCTCAGATAATCTAGGTACATTGGTATAAGATTGCAAATTAACTGTTAAGTTGACCCTTAGTATCAATTAATCTACTAATCTAGTTTTATATTTCTATCAGGAAATCTAGTATGAAGTTTATATTTATACCTAGAGTTGACTAAGCTCATTTAGAATATTAATGTGCTAATAATGTTCAATAGTTAAGTTAGCAATCCTATTGCATGATGTTAGCTTAAATTAGCTAAGTTTTGGAGTTGTCATCAACTTTATAAGAACCAACTTATCTCCTTTGTATTTTCACAAACAAATTTTCAGAAGTTTCGAAATGAATTCACATTTTATATCAGGAAAATACCTGTGGAAGTGGTTGGGCAGCCACTAGATCAATCCAGAAGTCTTTCCTCGTGTACTTGGACGCAATTTTTGAAGAGTCTATGATAAGCTCTCCTCTACCAGAAACACGAGAGGAAGGAGCAATATAAGCAGTTTGAAACCGAAAATAAATCTGAATAATGTAAAATGCATCAATCAATGACCGGATTACGGTAAGGGACACTTCAAGACCATCGGACATATCAATGCACTTGTCCTTCTTAGCCACTGGTAAGTAAAAGAATAGGGGATCCACAAATAATGAAATCAAACAAGCTGCTAAGAAAATTTTGTTCCAACTATTTACTCTTGGTCCCCTAGGATCCAATATCAAAATCTGTTCTGAATCATAATCCTCAGAAAAGACCCTGGAAAGTTCCCTTCCATCAGAGGACTTGCCTATTGCATCCTTCCCAACCTTCTTTTTGCTACTCGTCTCATAGGCCACCATTGATAAGTGATTTTCTTTGTTGTCCATTAACTTATTTGTCTCAAGTTCATTTTGAAATCTGGATGCACATATACACAACTGAATTTCAGCACCAAAACCAAATAAAAAAAAAGGTGATGAAAATAGTAAGTCCTAAAAAATTGTAATCTCGTAGATGGACACATGCCCTATAATATACATGAATAAGTTAATAAAGTCACTGACATATGTTACACTAAATTCTAATTATGTGCAAGTTTGCAGCTCAATGTCAAAGGGAAAAACTGGCAAACCTCACAGATCTTGATCTATCAGAATCCATAGTTTGCTAGTTCAACTTTTTAGTTTCACTCTTCAAGTAGACACAACAGAACATATATATATACAGGCTATTAACCACGGGAAAATATTTGATTCACATTCTCAACCACAAAATATTGAAGCTTGTTTTCAGTAGAGTCTTTCCCAGAAATCATGTGACAGGAAAGTAGTACTATGTTGTACAGTAACAACCCTTTTGTGTTTCTTTCATAAAAGTACAGGCAAAACCTGTGAATTTGACCCTTCTAAAAGCTTGTGAAGGATTCAAAGTCGTCGCTCCTTGGACTTAATGGTCAGCTTCACATATTTTTCCTGATATGAAAAGATGAGACTAACGAAGAAAGAATATGAAATGAAACATACATAAGAAGTCCATGTAGAGCCACAAAAACTGCTTTCATCTAGTTCGTCTGTTTTAATATCCATGAAAATTTTCAAGGTTCGGTTAGGGGAAACGTATCATTGAAAAACATCACATTCAAGTTCAATTATGTGGAGAAATAATTATAGAAAGAGAAATACCATAACTTAAGCTAGAAAAAAAGGAGAGAAGAAAATAAATAATTCAGAAGAAAAATAGAGATGAAAAGAAATTTAACCAGGAAATCCTTGCTGTCAATTCCCCTTTAAAACTACCTTGAATTCAGTATTTGATTATTTCTACCATGAAAATTTTAGTTCCAATCTCCTGATATGTCCTAATCAGTGAACAAAACAGAAACATGGGTCATGGAACAGTCTCATTCTATTGTGAAACCACAGCTTACTGTTCCCCAACTTGAGTTATATGACTTGGACTTTAACCGTGTAAACAAAAGTAATTGGAAGATTGCCTACTACCCCAAATTCAGATAATGTCTTATATGTTAATGGAGCAATAGTTTGAAGCTTTCCAAATGACACATGGGTTTGTTTAATGTTTTTTATTCATGTCATGTGTAGAATAGAATCCTCCACCAAGGGGAGAGAGGAGGGGCACCAAAGTTTACAATTGTATTGCATTGTATTGTAAGCTTCTTTTTTCTTCTTTTTATGTCTCAAATTTTGAAGAGATTTTGACGACACTGACTACCTTAACCAAATATCACAGCAGAGACTGGTCATTGATGTCAATTGTCAAGCTCAAAGCCAAGTCATACATACACCTTCCTCTCAATTGCATGGGTTGTCTGGGGACAGCTATGCATTGATACTGGGAACGTGTATAATTGTGCAAATATTGATTATAGAGAAATATATTAACCCTCTCCAACACTATATTTATTATTGAGTAAAATTTATGTAACTCATCAAATATGCAAATTTGGTTTCCATTTGATTTGATGGATTATGTATACAAATTAGTGAGACTAGTGAATTTTAATTGGAAAAATGTGACTGAATATGTTAGCACTTGTCATGTATGATATAATTTGAAAATGTTGGTTCATTTTTTTTTCTTTCATTCATATTAATTTTATTGTGATTATTATTTTTATTACCGTCGCTTATGTGATTAGTTAAAAAAAGTTACATGATTTTTTAAAAGAAATTTGTATAAAAAGTTTTCTATTACTATATATTTTTTATTAGCAGGAACCGAATACAGTACCGAGAGATTACATTCAGTTCGCTCACTATAAACATCTCTTCTCATCCGAACCGTATTTTGCCATATATTATAGTAAAAACTGCAAATTTAGGCAAAATTCTTGAAAACTTCGTTAAATCTTGAAAAGGAATGTAACATTATTATAAGTGATTAATGAGTCCCGTTATTTTTTGAGTTGACTTCACTTTAAAGTGGATGAATCTTTATACGAAATATGTACCATGAACTAGTTATGCAGGTGAGAAGTTAGAGGACGAGGCATAATAACCGTGACTCGGGGGTGCGACGAAATCAAGGGTGAATAATCAGATTTATGGTCTCTGTGCATATTGCGATTGCAAAGGTGACAGCATTAAATGCAAAGCTGGCTTGCATCAATAACAATCATATACATTTCAACTACCCAAACCAAACCAAACATGCACACAGCAATACAATAGCAGTTGCCGTTGCGGCTATTAACGGTGATGAGTGTAAAGAGTTTTATATATCAATCAATCAAATAAAAAAAAATTATGACTTTTAAATAGTTAATGTAAAATTCAACTTTTTATTATTCATGATGAATTTTGATTGGTGGATCGTGTAAAATTATCAATGTATCACTATTAAACCATTAAAATAAATATATGTAACATAATTAATGTGTTATATGATAAAATTAAATTACAATAACTAAAATATAAAAGAATTTAAGTTTAACAAAGAAATTAATATTATAAAAATGTAATGAAACATAAAAAAAGGGTTTTTAATTAGACAATTTACAAGTTTTTATTTCTCTTGAATTTTAGATCGCAAGGTAACCTAATCTAAGACAATCGTGTGTTTGGGGTTGAAACAAAAATTAGATATTACAATTTAAAAGGAAAGAAATTGTACGTAAGGATAATCATTGATTATTTCATTAGTTATCTAAAAAACTCGATCGATTTATATAAATTTTTATCTTGAATATATTTGAAGTTCTTGTAAATACGATTTGTCTAATTTAAATTTTTTAAATTTTTTGTTATTTTAGATCTTTTAGTATTTGTTTTTCTTATCATTAATTTTAGTTAATTTTTCGCTAAGATAACTAATAAAATGAAGAATATTAATTTTTAATTAAAGTAATAAAAAAATATTTTCAATTAAGATAATTAAATTATTTCCAGACACATAATTCAATTAAGTAATATGTTTATTATTCGCATAAATAAAGAAATTACATATAATTTATTTTTAATTTTTAATATATTATAAAGTATTTTTATTACTTTTATATTATTCTTATTCTTATTTTTAAAGTCACTAACTTATTTATAACATTATAATTTTTAAAATTATTATAATTGACTTGAATACTTAAATGTACTCGAGATTATCATATGGAAACCAAAGGGCTCATTTTGTCTCCACAAACTTTTTCTTTTAAGGCTTGTCTCCACAATGTGAATTTTAGAAGCTAGACTTATTGCTTTCCGGTGTTAAATGTGATTCTTTCATTCCTAATTAGTTTATTAATAAACTATATGAATGTCAATAAAAAAATTGAATAATAACTTATTAAAAAGAGAAAATATTATCCGCTAGGCTTTAAAGAAAAATGAATAACATCTCGTTAAAAACTTTTAAATCATAAAATCTTTAAAAATTGATAAAACTATATAAAAAAGACAAAATAATTTAACTAATAAAAAAATCATAAATCACTTTTAAACGCAATTTATTAGAATTATTTTTTTTGTAAATGCCCCCGTATCAAATTGACGATAACAATGATAAATAAAATAGTCCATTAGGCTCCAACAAGACAGGTATTTGAGTGTTCTTAAACTTAATTTTAAATTATTTTAATTATGTAAACTTACTTTTAATTGAAAATATAATAATTTTTTAAAACATTTTTTGTCTAGAAGTAAATTAAAAAATAAAACTTAGTACGAGATTCTTAACCTTATACATAAACTATGATTTTTTTTTTACTTCGACTGAAACATACTTATGAAAATAAAAGTAACTTAATTTTAAAACGACAAAACATTTTTTTAAAAAAAATTATTTTTTGAGACAATGGACATGACAGGACAATATATTTAATAAAAGTTACAGACATAAACCATCAGAATTCCCAAGTGGTCATACATTTTACTCTTGTCAAACCTTACAGAGTAGCTACCCCAGATTAATCCTGCTTCACATCTACACTTCCAGGTTTTACAGGATCTGCTGGAGTTGGTTCAACACCTGCCTCAGTCTGCAATAACATTGCCATTTTGTAATTTCAGTTCATATTTGAATTCATGGAAGCTTCATATGAGAAATCATATAAACAAAATTGTAAGCATGCACATACATCAACACAAGCATTATACGCATGATGCAAACAAACGCTAACCAAAAACAGAATCCATCATCATGTCACGTGGGTCAGGGTCCCTATCTAGTAGTGCTTGTCTTAAGGATCACTCCTTTATACAAAATCCATCTTTATGAAAAATAAATAATGACAGACGAATAGCTTGTTTCTCGAATGGGAGATGCATATGATCATCGGTAACACAAGCCCTTTTCAGCTAAAAACCAAATATCATACTGGACAACAGGCATTTGAAAAACGCTAAAATTGTTCCCGACATAATACTGTCTTTGTAAATGACCAATCCTCAGCAGGCAGAAATGTATTAAGTAACATAAGAAAAAAGGTAGCAGGATAAACATCACTTCTAACTCAAACTTCTCATTAATTTAACCAATTTTATACTTCATTATCTGTCAAAACAAAATAAAAACAGTTATAATAAAGTGCAATAGCAAAAACTTGAAAATAATACGACCAATTATTCTTTATTATTCCATTTTTTCATTCAAACTCATACAAGTATCCTCATAACAGGAAGCCTGACCATAAAATCCTACAGATACTTCAGGAATTCCACATCAATCACCCTATTCATATATTAGTATTAGGATTTCCTCTTTTCCAATTATACAGACACAATGTTGATCTTCTTTGCATCTGAGCCATCAATTTACACTTGGAACTGGCTCAAAATGATAAAGGCATCAACATGGAAATTTTACAGAATTCAAGTTCTAAATCGCATTGCTGGTGACAGCTTTCAGAACAAATTACCAAGAAAAATAATATTTTCCTTTTTCTTAAAAAAAAGAAAAAACAAAAGACAGGGTCACTTAAATGCCGATAGGATCATAATATTTGGAACCAGATCTTGGCATTATCCTATAATAATGCAGTAGCAAACTCCCATCATGGAAACTGGTACAACATGATCATATATGCAACTAATGCAAGTGCAACTAAAAAAGCTAAGAGAGATGATCTTGATATCAGAATATAAAAAAACATTTTTGTTTCTAAAATGCTATCCCACAACATTTTCCCAAATAAAGACTTCTACAAAGAGCTAATAAAAGGATTAATCTTGTGCTTTGTTCAATATAGCCAGACTCACAATGCTCCATAAATCCATATTTCTAAAATGAATCCAATATCCTACATTCCTACTTGATTTAAAATTTTGCTATAGACATAATATCTAAATTAACAAAAGTACCTTGAACTTGAAGTGCAATAAAATGGTTAGTCTAAAGCATGTAGGAAGCCAATAGTTGGTCTAATGGATTTGTAATATGCTTCTAGTTACTCTAATAGCATCTCAAATCTCTGCACCTTCTTCTCCGTGTCCTCATAAGTTTTAGCCATGTTTTGACATCCAGGATTCACCCACAATATTCAGCCAAGATCTACCTACCAATTGACACAGTTACAGCCGTTGCACAAGGCAGTGTTACAACCACATACTGTTAACCAGAAGATGATACATTGTGATGGCACTCCCAAAAGCACAGCCATAAGTGGGGACAGCCTCCACTTCAAATGGAAGATCCACGTTGCATAGGGGCATAGCTCACACTGGGAAACAATCATATTCCTCAATCCTATCAATTACTATTTACCGGTGTCGGCCTAGTGGTGAGAGGTTAGAGTTGTATACACATGATCTTAGATTTGAATCTTATAGCCATCATTATAATTCTTACAAATCAAAAAGAATATTCCTCAATACTATCCGGTTGTAAAGTGTGGTCTCACTCACACACTGCCAATAGGGGATCCACGCCCCAGAATCACATTGGTTTTTCCTATATACTAAAAGGTGGTCTGGTGGATTTTTTTTTTGGGGGGGACGGAGGGACATAGGGCTGAAGTGATAAGGAGGGAGTGGATTCAAATCCTTCCAGCTAACATTTGCCTATAATATATATATATATATATACTAAAAACACATAATTGACCTGAATGAAATCAAAGACTGTTCCACCCTACCACCACAAACCAAAAGAATTTTAATTCCATACCACCAAATTGACCACTAGTAAAGCTTCTGGCACTCACCCATGTTATCAGGTAGAGCACTCAAGATTATGAGTTCGTTGAATTTTACAATAACTATAATAAAAAGTCATACATACCATAATTTCTTATTGGTTGACAATGAATGAAAATTAAACTCATGCATAAAAAAGCAATTAACATCGGTAATCACTTACTTTACTAACCCCGGTGGTTGGAGGCTTGTATGGACATGCGGGAGGAGCCCTCTCCGGTTTTCTGTACTCCCAACCAAACACACGATAGATTTTTCCCTGAAAACGGTTACAGATCAACAATCACCCAAACATATCATATAAATGAGTATAATATGGTATGGTATGGGAAATATGAATATACTACAATAGGGAATTGCACTTACCATAATAAAATCGAAGAGAATAGGGAGAATGTTGACGATCGGGACGAGAAATAGGGGCAGCAAGCAAGCCAAACAAACCTATAGCATCGCATCAATCAATTTTATATAGAAATTAAAAGAAAACGTAAAATTGATCGCAGAAAAAAAAGTGAGAAGATCATAGATTCATAGGTAATAGTACCATGTTGGGATGATCGACTAGAGTATGAGAAAATCGAGAACGGTTGATTCAGCAGCGCGATTCAGAACTGCTAGGTTCGTTAGGGAAAGCGAGACAATTTGGTAATTTCCTGTCCACACCCAAAATTATATATACGTTTTTATATTTCGACTGTTGGGCCTACTCATTATGGCCCATGGGCTGCACGAGGGCAACCAAGCACGGCTTACAACATCATCAAAACAATCTAGACCGTTGGTGCATTAGTTCTAAAATTATATATATATATATATGGAGGGTTATAATAATATTGGTGTAATTTTTATTAAGTATTGCACCACTCAATAATTTTATATTGAATGTGAATTTTGTAAATTAAACTGTTAGATTAAAAAATTATATCACTTTATATGTTTATATAAAATTTTATTAAAATTGAACAACAATTTAAATATAATCAAAGTGTTTATATTTTAATATATTTTGAAATGTATATATTACGTTAATTTTTTTTTATAAGAATGAAGTATCAAATCATTTTGGATTAATATAAAATTTTGTATATATGATCTAAAAGAAAAGAACTTTTAATTTAACGGTTGAATTTATAAAATTCACATTTAATATAAAGTTATTGAGCGATGTAATATTTAGTAAAAGTTATACTGGTATTATTGTAACTCTCCTATATATATAATAATAATTTTTTTAAAAAAAATTGGTTATAAAATTTAATTAAAAAAAACATTGCTAGAAGAGAAATAACAAAACATTATATCCTTGGAAATATTGTCTCATCTATATCTACTAATAACTAAGGTTACAAGTCTGTCAATATCCCTAACGATTGAAGTGTCTCATGATGTTGCTCTCAATTTTGCTAAGAAATCATTTAATCAACACTAAAATTGGTTTCTTTCCTGAGTCGACAATTACTTGATAACCACTATTTTATTAGTATTTATACCTATATAGAAATATAAAGAGGATATATCATTTTATAAACATTTTTTTGTCTTCACTTTTTTTTTACGATTTTACCTTTACATCGTGAAATAATAAAAATAATATTAAAATTAATCATCTATGTAACCACTCAAATAATGTAACTATCTCTAACTACTCAAATTCTCAAAATTTTTATCACCTTTATTACTTAATCTCAATTTTTATTTTTTTATTTTTTTAATAAAATATAAAGACATGGAGTATTTCAATCCTACTAGTATAAATGATGTGGATCCACATTCCTCTATTCTAGTATAAGAATGTTTAATAAATTTGTTGGACATGTAATATGTTGAAAGACCAACTCTCAACATAGCTCCATGTCATGTAAGAGAGCACGTGGACATGTAAAATGTCTATATTTCCCATGTTACTTGCAAAGAAACAACCTAATGAGTTGTTAATAAGACCTCCAAATTTCACTAAACTTGTGCTGAGAAGCACACTATCATCTACATTTCGAGTATAATCCTAAGATTATGAGAAGCTCATGATATAATTAAAATGTCACATAGTTGTAATAGACTTGTCAAATGCACGTTTAAATTTTTGAAATGTTAAATTTGTCTCTAAATTTTATTATTTATTATCATTTTTATTTTTGAATATGAATATTTAGTTAATTTTAAATTAAAAAATATTTTTTTAAAAAAAATTAACTCCTGTATGTTAAAAGCAAACAACTATCTTACATTAAATCATTTTTAGGTGTTATTTTTCAATGAAAGTGTTTTCAAAAATTATTTTTATTTTTTTTATCTAATTCAATTTTTTTATTCATTATATTTATTTATGAATTAAAATTTAATCTTTTTAAAATAAATTATGAAAAATTTAAAAAAAAATTGTGTTACAATATAAATTAATCTTAAATCATATGTTCAAAAATATTTATTCATATAAATTTCTAATATATTTTATATATTCAAATATAATATATTTATTTTTATATATAATTTATTATAAAGTTTAGTTACATATAATAAATATTTTGTCTATGAAATTCACATGCTAAAATACTAATTTTTAAGAAGTACATATGATTGCTTCTAAAATAAAATAAAAGAATTGTTTAAACAAATAATTTAGACAAACACATTAAAAATGCTTATTTAATTAAAAAAATTAAAAAATGTGTCGTTATCACTTTAATCATACATTGTTTTAAACTAATATAATTATTAATTTGTATTTTTAAGGACTTATTTGACATGTTCTTAATCTTAGAAGCTAATATGATGATGTCATCTAAATTTAAAGATTAAAATAACCATTTGCTCCTGACTAATTCATAAATCAACATGTACATATAAAAACTTGTTCGATCAATCATCCATATAGATTCTACAATTGGGTGTTCGTTTCAACTTATGATATTACATTTCTAGAAATGTAACTCCTAGGAATCACGTTCCTTGAAATATTATAATCGAAAATGTTATTAAAATATATTAAAAAAATGTTTAGTTTTATATTTATTAGAGTCTGTACGTATTCATGAACACAATCAAATCTGGCTTTTCATCAACTCTGATATTACAAATACTTTTTAAAAAAAAAATTATGACACTCAAGTAAAAAGTGGTCTCATAAGTCAACAATAAATTAGGTTAGGAAAAAAAATCTACTTATACTGTTTCTAAATAATGTAAAAGTTTTTATCTATATATATTATTAATTCAACAGATAAAATAAGATAAATCTATACTAATATATAAAAGGGATATTTTTTTTTTTACAATTACCTTAACTTTTTTTTTACCATTATATCTTTTTAAAAAATTTAAATTTTTAATCAAATTTAAGAACTTGAAATTAATGAATCTAAATTTCTATACTAATATATAAAAAGATATCATTTTCAATAACTATTTTAATTTTTATTTTTACATGAATTATTTTATTATTTATTTTTTAATAATTACATTTTTTTAGGAATAACTTCTTAATTTTTTTTATTTATTTTTTCTTTTAATATAATGCATGTATGGAATATCTTTTTTCTGTTAGTATAAAATAAAATCAATTAAGCATGTAATTATTACCAAGGAGATAAAGTTGTTTTAGCCAAATAACTAAAAAATAAAGAGATGTGACTTGCGAGCAAGATGTCACGCTAAATAGTGGACAGATAAAATAAATGTAAAAAAATTCCGACCTGCCGGATTCGAACCAGCGACCTAAGGATTATCTGTTGGAACTCCCACTACAGTCCTCCGCTCTACCAACTGAGCTAAGGTCGGCCATGTAAGCTGATAGTTTGATTTATTATTAATACTGTGATTTCTCATTGGACTGGTAACTGAATTAAAAATAAAAATACTTTTTCATTAAATTTGAAATTAAAATAACTCAGTAATTTATTTAAAATAATAATAAATACATAAGTTAATAAGTTATTGTGCTTTGCATAAAAAAAGAAGAAGATATATATATATATATATATATATATATATATATAATAAATATTTTGTCTATGAAATTCACATGCTAAAATACTAATTTTTAAGAAGTACATATGATTGCTTCTAAAATAAAATAAAAGAATTGTTTAAACAAATAATTTAGACAAACACATTAAAAATGCTTATTTAATTAAAAAAATTAAAAAATGTGTCGTTATCACTTTAATCATACATTGTTTTAAACTAATATAATTATTAATTTGTATTTTTAAGGACTTATTTGACATGTTCTTAATCTTAGAAGCTAATATGATGATGTCATCTAAATTTAAAGATTAAAATAACCATTTGCTCCTGACTAATTCATAAATCAACATGTACATATAAAAACTTGTTCGATCAATCATCCATATAGATTCTACAATTGGGTGTTCGTTTCAACTTATGATATTACATTTCTAGAAATGTAACTCCTAGGAATCACGTTCCTTGAAATATTATAATCGAAAATGTTATTAAAATATATTAAAAAAATGTTTAGTTTTATATTTATTAGAGTCTGTACGTATTCATGAACACAATCAAATCTGGCTTTTCATCAACTCTGATATTACAAATACTTTTTAAAAAAAAAATTATGACACTCAAGTAAAAAGTGGTCTCATAAGTCAACAATAAATTAGGTTAGGAAAAAAAATCTACTTATACTGTTTCTAAATAATGTAAAAGTTTTTATCTATATATATTATTAATTCAACAGATAAAATAAGATAAATCTATACTAATATATAAAAGGGATATTTTTTTTTTTACAATTACCTTAACTTTTTTTTTACCATTATATCTTTTTAAAAAATTTAAATTTTTAATCAAATTTAAGAACTTGAAATTAATGAATCTAAATTTCTATACTAATATATAAAAAGATATCATTTTCAATAACTATTTTAATTTTTATTTTTACATGAATTATTTTATTATTTATTTTTTAATAATTACATTTTTTTAGGAATAACTTCTTAATTTTTTTTATTTATTTTTTCTTTTAATATAATGCATGTATGGAATATCTTTTTTCTGTTAGTATAAAATAAAATCAATTAAGCATGTAATTATTACCAAGGAGATAAAGTTGTTTTAGCCAAATAACTAAAAAATAAAGAGATGTGACTTGCGAGCAAGATGTCACGCTAAATAGTGGACAGATAAAATAAATGTAAAAAAATTCCGACCTGCCGGATTCGAACCAGCGACCTAAGGATTATCTGTTGGAACTCCCACTACAGTCCTCCGCTCTACCAACTGAGCTAAGGTCGGCCATGTAAGCTGATAGTTTGATTTATTATTAATACTGTGATTTCTCATTGGACTGGTAACTGAATTAAAAATAAAAATACTTTTTCATTAAATTTGAAATTAAAATAACTCAGTAATTTATTTAAAATAATAATAAATACATAAGTTAATAAGTTATTGTGCTTTGCATAAAAAAAGAAGAAGATATATATATATATATATATATATATATATATATA